TGATACAAAAGTACCCCATTAAATATATTCCTAAATTACCTTCACAATTTGGGGTGATAATATTCATAATGTGAACTGACCCAATTGCGTGCTGTTGTATAAAATTTGAAACTAAGAAGAGCATAATCCAGCGAGAAAAAAATGATTTTTTAAAACGAGTCGCAACAAACTACCCCGCCCCACCTGATATTATGTGTAAGTGTAGTCTAGTCGTGATGATAGATGATGCAGCAGAAAGTATGCCCCTCCAACCATCTTCAACTTGCCGGCCTGAATCCAATTCCTTACCCCGCGCAGCCCTACTTACTGTCGTGTGAGGCAGGTCGTTGCGTTCCCTAAAAAATGGTTGAGCGAAGCGATGGCTGGTTCATGCGTCATGCTCGTGAACGGGTGCTGCCAGCGGAGATGAGTCTGCTCTTGCTTCATTGGATACTATTAATCGTTGTACTAAACTTTAATCGTTCATTTTTTTTTGCCTAAACGGCAGGACACGGCATTCCTAAACTTTGTTAAACCAGTTTTTTATATAGTCATAATTTTTATATTATTTGCATTTGTAATGGAAAGTGACTTTATGAGTTACCTCATATTGAAGTCATTTTTCAATTTGACGACTCTGTATACAATACAGGGAGAAAAAAACAGCCCTTGCTGAGTTTCTTGCCGGTTCTTCTCAGTACAAGGTCTCCCGCCGTAGTTTGCGAACCGATGGCGTAGTTTTTAGACATTCAGAAGTGCTTGTAACAGCCTAGACTGAATAAACGATATTGAATTTTGAATTTTTAGAATTTATTTATATTAAGAGAGATTTAGATTAAGAGAGATTCTTTAAAGAGTCACTCGACAGGAATGCCAACAATTAACACCGGAAATCTTGCTGAAATCATAGAAAATGCGAAAAAACTGAAATAAATGTGTATAAGCTCAGTGGCAGCCAATTGTCGGATATCATCTTTTCCACTGAACAGAAAAAAAATTGCAGATTCTTTTAAAGATCTACATCCTCATGATCATATTTTTTTATTAAGCAGATATTTTCTTTAGATACAAATATAAACCGGAGTCTAACATTATATACAGATTATTCAGAATTTCACATCATAAAACTATAAAATACACTAACTATGAACAAATAAGTCTCTATCTAATTACATTACACTATATATAAGTAAAATATAAATTCTAGAACAATAAAACTAAAACTAAAAACCTTAAAAAATAAAATTATCAACTAAAATATATTATTAAAAGGAGTCCTTTTAGGCAAGGATCCGAAGATACTGGCAGCGTTACCCCTTTGAATAGGTAGACTAATTCTTTGTCCGAGGTAGCTGCCAGCTCTTCGGTCTCCTGTGACGTCGACTAACCTTTTTGCTATTTCCTTAAACAGCCTTAAAGCGCTAGGACCCCACGGACCAAGGGTCTCGACACCGAATGGAACAAAATCATATTCGGAGCCAAGTCTAGCCTTTTTTTATTTAGTATAAAAGTTAAACAAAATTGGATGATTACTTTTGCGCCACCACCCACCACAAACATTAAACTGTATTAGATAACTTACACAGAAGAAAATCTATTTTCATTCATGGAATATAATTAAGAAAGTTTTCTGTATAACATATAAAATTGTTAGAAGCTATAATTTTTCCACTTTCGTTAATTACAGGTTAGGTAACTAATAATTTTCTTTATTCATATTATGAATCATAAAGCTTTTAGGGTTCATAAAATTCTCTTTAGATACTAAGGTAATTAGCGGTTCATTTATATAGAACTTTAGTGAAAACAGCAGGTAGAAAGGTCATGACATTGACTACACCAGTAATATTAACTTAGCTTTCATCGCTACTTAATTAAGTAAATGCTTTGGTTAAATTTAATATTACTTTATACTGGTGCAACCTGTTACTGTATATGGTGTTAAAATAAAGTAATATCTTGCAAGCAACCAAGGAGTGATCCCTTGGCGTGTAGAAAGATTACAAAATACAGTGTGGCCGGAACATTGACGTCCAAAAATATAAATTTAGTGGGGTATCCGAATGACCCCCATGTTTATTCCGCGTCTTCTTATAATTTTCGAGCTATGATTTTTTTTCTGAGTTTTCGGGAATTTTCGACTTGGCCAACTTCCAAAAAATGTAATGAATTTTATAGAAGAGCTATTAAAAAATAAATAGTGATGTCGATAAAAACTTTTTGTTTGAGGATTCTATTATTATTGGAACGAAGTTCCTTACGGCAGGCTTCGAAGGGATAGGGATTTTGCTGCGCGACCGAACTGAAAAAAATGTGATAGTAAAACCGTAAGTAAAAACGCGTGGAAAAAAGTGCGTGGAATAAAACCGTTAAATGAGACGTGCGCAGGCGCGACAGTTGCATACACAAGCGAGTAGTGTATAATACCTTTCTCTTTCTCCCTCTTTCTTTTCGTTCTCTCATCCCTTCTCTTTCTATTACCACTCCACCCCGCCAATGCATAGTATATACTTATGAATTCATGGACAAGCACGTGGCGAATACTCACATTATAGCAGGCTTGGAGAGGGGGGATAGGGATTTTGCTGCGCGATCGAACTGAAAAAAATGTGATAGTAAAACCGTAAGAAAAAATCCATAGAAAAAAGTGCGTGGAATAAAACCGTTAAATGAGGGAACTTCGTTCCTACCTGGTGTCCCACGACACCACATCATTTTTTATTATTATACAAAAACTTAAAGCCTGTAATACAAATTAATTTCTATCATGCATTATATTATTATTATTTATAGGAATTATTTTCACATTTGACCTTCGAGCTCATGTAATAATAAAGTTTTTTTAAATCAACTATACGGAATTGACACCTGGGTGTTCTAATTATACATTTGCAATAACATATTGAACCTCGAAAGTTCGATAAAAAGGAGACGTCACATTTTTGGGGCAAAAAAATACACTGTGTACTCTATCTACAGAGAAAATATTCAAAGAGTAGGAGTTTGACGGTGCAGAGGGTTGCACGTTTTAACTGCGTATATGTTAAAAACAATCGGTTTCCAGTTTTACGTTCTGATAACAGAGTTTGGCATTTAGATGCCAGGTTTTTACATATTAAAAGTCAGCCAGGAATGATTTCTTCCAGTAAACAAATTGTATATCTAAAAAATATTTACTCCGAAAATCCGCAACGTTTGGTTTTAAGTGTGAATGGATTCCACTGTAAAAACGATACGATGTGATGGGGAAATATGCAGTTTCAGAAAAGTTCACTTTGAAGACCTGAAAACTATTCACTTACTCCTAAGCACATTATAGAATAGAATAGATTATATTTTATTAACCCTTATATTACAGATATTACACATTTACCAGATACAAATTCAAAATACTCATGGCTAACCTGCCTCAGCATTAGCTTATGCGACATTATCGCGTAAAATTACGACCTAACTAGTGTAGGCACTGTCCGCTATCTCGGATATGATGTGAGGTGTTTCCGACAAATTTCCCATGATTTTTATTATTGTTAAAAAGGTGACAAACAAGCGTATGGCATGCTTGATGGTAAGTGGCCACCATAGCCCATCATTATCATCATCGTGTCAGCCGTATGACGGCCACTTCCGAGCATAGGCTTCCCCCAAGGATCTCCACACTGATCGGTCCTGCGCCACTCGCATCCATCGGCTTCCCGCGACCTTCACAAGATCGTTAGTCCACCTTGTCACAGAATATATACACTACGCGAAAAGAAGCGACACTTAAGCATGTGTGCTCGTAAAATCGCCCGCGGCTATGTGTGGGTATCTGGAGGTGCGCGGGGGCGTTGCGCGGCGCGCGGGACGTGGAGAGGGCAGTCGCCGACTGCCTCGACCGAAGGCATGGCAGTAGCGATATAGTAAAATAATAGCGTTGCACTGCATTGCACGCACAGACTGACTACGCCACGCAATCTTATTATTATTTAGATAATAACGGAAAAAAAATATGAAAAGTTAGCAATTTGTTATAGTACCTACATTAAAAGATTAAAAATTGATTATAAAATCAAACCTATCCTTCCATTATTTACCCCAGTATCCTTGAATCAGTTTACATTTAATAATTTACTATGCATAAATATTCATTGGCACAAGTCTAAATTCCAAGTTCAACCCTAGCGCATACACGCTCCTGCTCTAGGTCACTGACGCTGGAACTCACACGTACAGAGAGTGTCACCGCTGTGACCTTGTAGGCGACTTGCCCACTGAGCGTTGTCCGGTGCGTGGTCGCCATTCCAGAACCTTTCCGCCCCAACGGCCATCGGTTCTTCTTGCTACGTGTCCCGCCCACTGCCACTTCAGCAGAGCAATCGTTCAAGCGATAGCCATAGCCTATAGACACTAGCAATATCAAAAATATCACTCTGTTGCCAACGCTGATCCAATGCTCTACCGCGTGGAGTCCTGGAACCTTAGTCACCGACAGAATCACAACACCATCGTCCGGTGCGTGGTCGCCATTCCAGAACCTTTCCACCTCAACGGCCATCGGTTCTTCTTGCTACGTGTCCCGCCCACTGCCACTTCAGCAGAGCAATCGTTCAAGCGATAGCCATAGCCTATAGACACTAGCAATATCAAAAATATCACTCTGTTGCCAACGCTGATCCAATGCTCTACCCCGTGGAGTCCTGGAACCTGTTCCAGAACCTTTCCGCCCCAACGGCCATCGGTTCTTCTTGCTACGTGTCCCGCCCACTGCCACTTCAGCAGAGCAATCGTTCGAGCGATAGCCATAGCCTATAGACACTAGCAATGTCAAAAATATCACTCTGTTGCCAACGCTGATCCAATCATCTACCGCGTGGAGTCCTGGAACCGTATTCACCGACAGAATCACAACACCATCTTGTAATAATAATTATGTTATTTTACTGTGAAAGGTCAAGGATACTTCCCCAGACGGGCGCCCCAATGCGTTCGGAACATCCGCTATTCTTTACCTTACTTAATAATGAATGTATTGTACACAGGGGTCGAGGAGCTCAAAGACTCAAGGGCAAATGCAGTTCTAGAATGGCCGCCCTCGTCGTATCGGAGTCACTTCGACCTGAGATCGCAGAGACAGCCTTCGCTTGCTAGCTGCCCGAAGTGTCCGCACCGGACATATTATGATGGTAAGACTTCACCGGCCTATACCCACTCTTTTACAGGTATATCATCATCGTCAGCCTATTAATGTCCCCACTGCAGCACAGGCTTTCCCTATGGATGGAATAGGGAGATTGGGCCATGACCTACCACGCGGGCGCAGTGCGGATTGGTAGGTGCTAACGACCGCAGATGCAGCCGGGACCAACGGCTTAACGTGATACTCGAGATAGAAGATTTATGGTCACCCATCCAATGACCGACCACTGCGAAAGATGCTTAACTTCAACGATCGCAGCCGAACGAGCTAACTACCTGCGTTATCGAGCTTCTCGTATAGGTATATACGTTATAGGTATATAGGTGCGAACAAATGACTCCAGCCCACCTGATGTTAAGTGACGTGGTGGAGTCCAGACGCGAAGATAGCCGTAGCGGAAGTTTTACCTGCCACGCCAGCATTACCATTACGGAGTGCATGTTGCTTCTTTGCCTCTTTTAAAGAATCGAGTATTTTTTTTATCTACTACATTTGTACTTATTGTTTGCCTATCACTGCTACATCTAATATATAAAATTCTCGTGTCGCGGTGTTTGTGGTTAAACTCCTCCGAAACGGCTTTCCCGATTCTCATGAAATTTTGTGTGCATATTGGGTAGGTCTGAGAATCGGACAACATCTGTTTTTCATCCCCCTAAATGTTAAGGGTAATCGACCCCTAATTTTTTTTTCAATTTTAGATTTTTTTTTTAATTTTTTTATGATACATCATATAAAAATACATACAAACCTAAATTTCACCCTTCTACCACTAACCCCTATTTTTTTATGGCGGTACCAAGTTCGCTGGGTCAGCTAGTCTCATAAATAAAATTCTCGTGTCACAATGTTAGTTCCCATACTCCTCCGAAACGGCCTGACCGATTTTTATGAAATTTTATATGCATATTCTGTGGGTCTGAGAATCGGCTACTATCTATTTTTCATATCCTTAAGTGATAATGGTTGTCCACCTGTAACGTAGTGTTCTGAAACCTACAATGCGCCTTCGCGTCAAAATTCAAACCATTGGGTATTGTAACGTAGTGTTCTCATATGAGTTAGGAGGAATGTTATCCCAGGAAATTGAAAGAACACTACTTTACATACCCCTTAATTTTTTTTGGACAATATTTATTTTTTGGTATTAAAAAATAGATAAAACCCTTAATTTTCTCTTCTACCACCTGCCCCTATAATTATGGCGGTACGAAGTTCGCTGGGTCAGCTGGTTTTTATATAAAAAGAACCTAATTTAAAACAGCAACTTGCCCCGTCTTATAACTGAATTAATTTGAATTTTTAAGAGCTGTTTTTTTATTATAATGATTCTAATTTAAATACGATTTTAAAAACTTGAATTGTTTTCGAAGAAGAATGCTCCACTTAGTAGCTAGGCCAAAAATCACATTCTCTATTCTTACATAAACTTTCCTGAACAAACACGTAAATTGAGATGGGTTGAGATTTCAGTTTTAAAAAGGACGATTCTACCGTAAGGCAAAGATATAAAATGTTTTACTAATTCTATATCTGCTTTTCATCGTGTTATTAAGATAATAGATCCATATATTATCTTAAAAAGGGATAACAGAGATTTCACGGGCATGTTATTAAATTGTAACAACAATTTTATACAAATAGTAGCTGTCACAGCGAACTTCGTACCGCCATAAAAAAATGGGGGTTGGTGGGAGAATGGTGAAAATTTGAGGTTGTATACAATGTATTTTTGTATGATGTATCATAAAAAAATTAAAAAAAAATTATCGAAAATTAAAAAAAATAAAATTTAGGGGTGGATTACCCTTAACATTTAGGGGGATGAAAAATAGATTTTGTCCGATTCTCAGACCTACCCAATATGCACACAAAATTTCATGAGAATCGGGAAAGCCGTTTCGGAGGAGTTTAACCACAAACACCGCGACACGAGATTTATGTCCCCAGTGATGGGGCACAGGCCTTTCCTATGGATGAATTAGGGAGATTGGGCCATGACCCACCACGCGAGCCCAGTGTTGCGAATTGGCGGGTGCTAACGCCTGCACATACAGCCGGGACCAACGGCTTAACGTGCCTTCCGAAGCACGGAGGAACTCGAAGATTTTTGGTCACCCATCCAATGACCGACCACTGTGAAAGTTGCTTAACTTCAACGATCGCAGCCGATCGCGCTAACCACAAGCACCATCGAGCTCCTATTCTCTCTCAAAATTATGTCATCATCATCATCATCAGCCTATTAATGTCCCCCTGCTGGGGCACAGGCCTTCCCTATGGATGGAATAGGGAGATTAGGCCATGACCCACCACGCGGGCCCAGTGCGGATTGGTGGGTGCTAACGACTGCAGATGCAGCCGGGACCAACGGCTTAACGTGCCTTCCGAAGCACGGAGGAACTCGAAGATTTTTGGTCACCCATCCAATGACCGACCACTGCGAAAGTTTCTTAACTTCAACGATTGCAGCCGATCGCGCTAACCACCTGCGCCATCGAGCTCTCCTCCTCTCTCAAAATTATGTACTTAATGTTAATTGAATATTTCTTTGTTGCAGCCTACATACACGGGCGGAAAGTGTAAGAACAATTTGACAAACAATTTTGTGTTACCAGTTAAGGTCCGTGAATTGCTCAGTGGTGTACAGTTAATATAGTTCTTGACTTATCTAAATCTAATAACAGAAATAACTATATTTAATAATATATTTTGTTAGAATAGTGTTTCAAGAATCAAGTGTGTTTTAACTTACAAAAAAATTAGATAGGTAGGTACTTAATAAAAGTTCCGTGAAATGGGAACTTAACGATAGATTGAATGAATCTTCGATACATTTACATAGTTGAGTGTTTATAAATAAATACAGACACCGGTAATCAGGTTAATAATATGTAAATAATCTGGTATTACTTTAATTTTGTTATTGTACATACATATAAATATAGTTATGTCATATAATAGAGAATATAATGTATTTGATAAATTATTTACGTCAAGGGGTAATATGCCATTACCGTATGGTAAAACCATGACCCCATAAGGCGCTTTGCAGACGACGGGGCGGGGCGGACATTTTGTCCGCGAAGCAATAAAAACCGCGTCTGCCCGTCGATGTCTGCGGCTGCCCTCGCCACGTACACAAAGCACACGACGGGCAGAGGCAGCAGTTCAGGACGTACGTTCTAGTGAATAGTCCATCACTAAAAAGCGCGTGGCGCGGAGTGAGCTAGCTGCCCCGCGCCGCCCTCTGCGTTACTGCATATAAACTGGTTTGTATGATCCACGGCGGGCAGCCGAAGACCGCGCCGCTGGTGCCCGGCGGGCACTGGCGACGCGGTCTTTTTGCCCTCTGTGTGCGTTTGTAGTAAAGGAATCACTTTGTGCTATCGTTCGGCGAAATTGACCGGCCCGCTCCGCCCCGCCGTCTGCAAAGCGCCTAAACGTACTGCAGATTCACTGTTCTAAGAGGTAAGTTTATTCCCTTTGTTCCCGTTTAGACACACCATTTTGTTACCCACTGGTAAAAAAATACAGATTAGTAACAATGTTATTCAATGCCACGTTTTTGTGAATTCCGACAGCATTCCAAGGAGATCGATATTACATCTATTTCTCTCTGGTCTGCTATTCTGAAAGCTAAGCGACCTTTCCGATGGGCAGCCATCGGCTGGGTGAGCGGATCTTTCAAACTAAGTAATGTATCTATGTACCAAAACTGTAGGAGTATTATTCAATTTAATAACATCGTCTACGAAAGACCAATCATTAAAGATGGACTTAGCATATTTCATAAATGAAATAACATTACGAAATGGGTCGTTGCTGGCACAAAGACTGTCTAAAATTGCCTTCCAGCGTGGAATGCTGCAAGTATAATGGACTTTAAATAAAACTAGTTTTAACGGGTTAGTGGAGTGATGTGCGTGAAAACCTAAGAAACAAATATAATGGACCTTACTCCAGGAGTGGTTTACTTGACTAAATTTAATTTAATTGTATTTGAATTGAATTTAATAAAAACATAATGAAATTATAATATCCAATGATTTTTATAATAGTGATGTAAATATCTGTTAAAAGGCGTGCTTGTGTGAAAACAGTTACACATGCAAAGGAAGCGAAATAAATATTTATGTAAAAACCCTTTTTTTTGTGACCCAGGCAAAAACTCTGTTTACAGACGACGGCGCCTTTAAGAGGCACACCGCTGAACGGACCTCACACCTGGCTCCCGCAAACCTTACGAGCCCCCACAGTGGCTACCCACTGAGGACCCCGTAACTCTTACGGGCGCTTTACGGCATAATACCCGTAAAAACCCTGCGAATGCCCTCTAAGCTGCTTAATGCGAAACCGCGGGATACCCGTTTAGGGATTCTTCTGCGTCTCCGCACCCAACAGCCTCCTGGCCTAGCCGGGGCTCCACGGCAGGGGTCTCCCAAGGTATTGTGGGGACCCCGCAGATGTGCGCAGGATGGTCCACGCGGGGGGGCCGAATACGCGGCCTAGTGCCCACCGTCCGCTGCTACTTGGACGTGCCCGTGTAGCTCCCTCCGCCGCCCCCCTCTTTGCAGGACAGAACTACATACATGGCATAATGCCCCGTCCCGCCAGCTAGGGATCCCCGCGGGCTAGGGATGTCGAAAGTTGACAAAAATATCGATATATCGATATTTAAAAAAAATATCAATATCGGATTCGATATATCGCGAAAAAAACATCGATATATTGGTATATCGGACCAATTTTCCCAAAAATATATTTAGGTCAGCCTAGCACAGCAATAATAACAATACAAATTATAATCAAAGAAAGAATTATTAAAGTACCAAATTGCCCGCTACACTACATGACAGTACAGTATCTCACGAAAGATGACACGCGGAATAATAATGGAACGAAAATTATCTCCCTAAAAATAGACCCTATTTTCGAATGATGGAAATGACTGCAGGGCCTACAGTCACACACTTCCACAGAATGTAATGGAATTCAGCAATTTTAAATTCAATTCACCAGCGAAACAGATTTAGAAATCATAGACAATCCTAAATACGGCACAGATCATAGACACCTATGTTGAATATCATTAATTTGAGATCCAGTAACGATTTTTCCAGATACGAATTTAGTTAGATCGTGATATGCCGCTAATAATTAAAAAAAAATCGTTTTTGATACGAATTTCGATATTGGTTATTTTGTATCGATGTATCGACATATCGAATCAAAATATATCGGCTAAAAATATCGATATATCGATACATCGATATATTTTCAACAAGCCTACCGCGGGCAGGGTCATGGGACGGGCGTAGCCAGGGTGGACAAACTCCAAGGTTGCCAAGAGTGTGTGCTTTGCAAATGAAACAAACTGTTTCGCACACGACAGGTTTTTATTGGAAAGTTCGAAATTTAAATACACCGCATTAAGACTAATATAAACGGCTGTTATGAAACACTAACGCGATTCACAAACAATGTAACGCCATCTATTAAATAAAATATAAATTAAGGAATTAACAACTACTTATGGTTTATAGGTACTATTTGGTCATACACAGGGCATGCACTCGTCCTCTCCTACCCGCACCGAAGAAGATCTTCGGTGGGAGGGAGCGGCCAGGGGATCATCCTCCCGCTCCCTCTCGTTTGTAAGAACCCTGCTTTGCTCTCTTTGCATACACCCACCTGGAGCAAGAATGGAACTAAAGAAACAGCTTGTGTATATATGTCGTGGCCATATCGTAGATTTGATCACTTCATGAAATGCTCGAGAATTTCATATGATCAAATATTTTTTGCCATTTCATGAAGTAGCCACGTGTTTAGTTGGCCATATCGTGAAACGATTTCTCATCATTGATCTGCCCAAAGCACATCATGATGTGGCCAATGGATAGTGAAACATTTCATGAAATGCGACCATTTAATGAAATTTTCGAGCATTTCATAAAGTGATCAAATCTACGATATGGCCACGACATATATACTCAATCAAATCAATCAATATATCTTTATTCAAATTGGATGTATAGTACAACACTTTTGAATCGTCCAAACATTTTTTTCCCTACCACTCGTTATGGACATATTTTTTAGCTGCGGAGAAAAACGAGCGAAAAAAACTCCACAACATTAAAAGAATAATGTAACAACATTTACAAATCATTATGTTGTTACAACGTCAATACAATGATGATTTATTTAATATAGAACACCTGTTGGAATGATTGGAACAGTTCAAACCCAAGCATTTTTGTCTGTAATATAATCAGACACTTTTGTAATAAGCTTTTTTAATACTATTTCTTAAATAAATTTTCACACGTTAACTTTGCAGTTATAATGTGCATGTAGGTATTATCTTTATTGCATATTTTTAGGGCTATGCCGTCCCATTGGAACTGTAGTCACTGTGACCCAAAAGATATATTGTGATATCGCCACCACTGTTAAAGTATCTCTTATAGCTCGACAGCTTAAAAAGAGCTGAAAAACATTTCTAGCTTTAAGAGATTTGATTTCCTCTGGGCGTATTAAATGTCACCCCAGATGAAACATCATCATCATCAGCCTATTAATGTACCCACTGCTGGGGCACAGGCTTTCACTATGGATGGAATAGGAAGATTGGGACATGACCCACCACTGGCGGGTGCTACCGACTGCAGATGCAGCCGGGACCAACGGCTTAACGTGCCTTCCGAAGCACGGAGGAGCTCGAGATAGTAAATTTTTGCTTACCCATCCAATGACCGACCACTGCGAAAGTTGCTTAACTTCAACGATCGCAGCCGAACGCGCTAACCACTTGCGCCATCGAGCTCCTTCTATTCATCCCAGATGAATACTACGTTTGCAAATATAGCATACTTTCTAAAACTATATTGAAACATCAAGGTTACATTATTGACACAGCTGCATATATTTTTACTATTTCCGTGCTAGTCATTTAACTGGGACAATCGATAGCACGTTATGGCAACCCCATATTTATTACCCCAACATTATTTTAAAAAATAAAATAAAAAAATCGATCATACGCTTAATTGTATCAAATAATGTATGTATGTAAAACCATAAAAGTTAATCATAATACAATATTTAGCAAAGGGATTCGTTAATTTGATTTAACTTTTACACGCAATAATATAAACCAGTCCCTGAAAGTCTCGATAACCAATAATACTAGTATTAAGATTAAGTTTCCTATTAAGAATAGTTTTGCTAAAGGATTAAAAATACCTTTTAGTTCGTGGAGGTCGGCCTCTATTGAGTAAATCTCATATCTTACCTCACCAAGTAATTATTCGGGTAGTTTTTTTTTTTTGTTGAAGTTCTCCCGTTTTAGGGTAGGCAAAGGGAACAATGCCCATACAGCCTATTCTTTAATTTATTTTTATTATCTTCTTTTTATTTTTACATTAGAATGTCGGTGTGACGCATTCTAATGTTTCTTGGAGTGTTTGGCACGAAATGTATCGAATTTGGCTTTTTCGATAAGCTTCTGTGAGGTAGTCAACACTACAATAAAATTCTCACGTCCACTTGACCGGAATAGCGTATATTTTAATGATTCCGCTAATTCTTCAGTTACGCAGACAGTTGTTACACAAAACCACACCAATTTTATTTCACA